ATTAAAAAAAAAAAAAAAAAAAAGTAATAAAACACTTACGAAACCAAAGAGGAAGCACGAAGGAATATAGTATTTGGTTAGTTAGACGATTAATTTTTCAAATTGGGTGAGTGAAACATTATTCCCTATCTAGATTCTTTGAGTTAAAGATGAATTTTGTTGTGATTTATCTTGACCGTAAACATGTTTCTATGAATTTCAAAGGATAAAACAGAATTTTAAGATTGACATGATTATGAAAATTTTGCATTCTTTTATTTTTATTTTTTGGAGAACCATTCTCTGGGGCTATAATTTCAAAATGAATACTCCATGTATTAATGAACACGACGTGCAGGAATTAAAGCGAGATCAATTTACAAACTCGTATTCTTACGTGAAAGAGAAAAACTGCATTCCTAGACTCTACATAAAAGGAAAAAATAATTAAAGAAAAAGTTTTAAACTTTCAAGCTGCAAACGAACACTCTTAAGGTTAGGCAGATGCAAAATAAATTTCACTGTGTTTGTCACGAGCAGCAAAAAAACAATTTGACAAAAGAATATGATAATTTCTTCTAGTTAAAGACCGGAGAATATTATTTTCTTTTTAATTTAATAGGTCCGAAGTCCACTTATTCCGCTAATCAGGATTCCGAGGGGGTGAAACGCTCCCCACCAAAAGGTTCTTCATTCTCAATACACACACTAAGCTCCCACTGACCACAAGGGTCTATTGTTTCCACGGCTTGAATCCGTAAGATAATTCTCAAGATTTTCAAATACTTAGCCACGTTTTGCTTGGCAAAGCAGCTTTTCAAAAGAAGCTAAATAAGATGGAAAAGTATCTGTCTTGCGCCTAACACATTGCACTATGCAAATATAAAGCTACTGTTGGAGTAAAATACAACAGGAAGAGAACACACAAAGCCCAAATGAATGAAGCTAAGATTTCCCTCTCAAGAATAGAAGATGTAACATGGCCTTGAACACTAAGTCAAAGTTCATCCTGCAACAACAACAACAAAAAAAAGTAGCAACATCGATCAGAACTAGAACTAAATTTCGTTGCAACAATTTTTATGACTAAATCAAATCCACAAACGTTTTTTAGCCCATAGCATCTGAAGTAAATTTAATTTTATAAGCCAGTAAAAAAGTAGGAGAGCTTTTTAAACTCTTATTAGCCCACAAAGAGCGACAAGAAAGTAAAGATTTAGAAGATACGCGAGGTTATTAGAAGACTGTTAGGAAATCAGCGAGAGAGAGTTGGGAGAAAAGAACAGTTTATTCTGAGCTTACATGATAGTCATCATAGTAATCACGGCGATAGCGCTGCAAAACACAAATTTGTCAGCAAGTCAGACACTATATTTCAACCAAGAGAATTACTGGGGAAAGAAAAAGAGACATTGACATAGAATAACAGAATGGCATAATGACTACTACAAAGTTTTATCTTTAAAATTGTTTTTTGTTGCTTTACTGAATTTGTTTAACATGAAGACTAAATAACTGCCACAAGCTCTTATTAGGTCTGATTGAACGCTTATTGAGCAACCAAAGCCAACTTATGGCTTTTTAGCTTAAAAAGCTATTTGAGTTTGAAATCTGTTAACAAAAGGAAGACAAAGTTGTCAAAGATAAAGTGTATAACCAAAGCCACGGTCAGCTAATCTGAATCATTCAAAGAAGTTAAACAAGCAGAAAATGATAGTCATAGAAATTGAAACGGAGTAGCTACGATCTCGAACTAGGAAGGAATTACAACAAAATAAGAAATGGGGCAAGGGAAAAAGAGAGTAAATGATATCAGAAAACTAAAGGAAAAAACACATAGCATGTTGAGTTCAGAGAGATATGAAACACTGACCCTCTTGTTTCTATCCCTTTCTCTTCTCCTCCTTTCACCTTCCTCTCTTGCTGTTCGGGCTTCCTGAAAATTCCCACTATTTTAGCACTTGCGCCCAGAAAAGACATGATATATTAAATAAATGAAAACAGGGTATCAACCTCTTCCTCTTTTGCTTTTCTCACTTTCTCTGCTTCCTCAAAAGCCTCCTTTTCAGCCTGCAGATACTTGTTTCAAGAAATCTAAGTTTTGAAGAAGCAATGAAGCTATCACCAGTCAACATAGGACAAAGGATCAATGACAGACCTCCCTATTAGCAAAGACTTCCTCAATCACTTTCTTTGCATAATCTGGCTCATCGCATATCAGTATGTTGTCAAAAATAGAACCTGCCTTCACCTGCAGCCCATGACAAAACACATCAGTATATCACCCATTCTAACTTCATAGAGGAAAAACTACATGTGAAAAGACAACATTATCCTAGTTCAGACTACTCATCTTACCTGCCAAACTTCGATCCCAACATATTTGATAGGCTTCAGCACATAGAGGTCAGGATCATCTTCAAATTCTGGAGAGAGAGAGAGAGAGAGATCAGAACGGATTTTCGATACAATGACAAAACGTCAGAACATTGGCAAGTGTATTAAAATGCATCTCGATACAAATGCATACATCCATTACCTGGATTATCAATCCAAGGAGTCCTCCATTTACCTTTATAATTAGGGTTCTTTATTTTCTGGGACATAAGATACACTCGCTAAGTAGATATTCCAGTTACAACTCGAAGATTTCAAGCTTCATAATTAGCAGTGAGAAAGATTCTCACATACCTTTCGTTTCCATGGACCCTTATACGCTGGATTAGGTATTTTTGGTGGTCTCCAGATACCGTCCTCTTCATCATCCCAGTGATCAGGCTAAAATAGAATAGCAACTTTGGAAGTTTAGCTTGCTAAGTTACAAGATGTAAGTTCATTGGTGTAAACAGGCCTCTAACGTACCTCAACTATGATATATGAAGGACAATGAAGTATTTGTACACATTCCCCCTCTGTTACTACTGAAAAAGGACTAACATTTTCTATAAGTGCGGATGGGGAAGTAAAGAAACCCGCTAAGACAGTGATGACAAGCGAGTACATCACTTGTGGAATAAAGTTAGTTTTACAAAGAATAAGAATGTTTGTAGTGATATAACAGATAAATTGGTTAGCAAACTACATTTGAACCAAAAAGATCACTACAGAGGACAAGAATAAAAAAGTTCACTGCCAAGGAGTAAAAAACTGATTTATAAAACTAAAGAAAAGAGCCTTTTTAGAATAACCACACCTCAGAAAAAGTAACTTCAGAACATCATCCATAACATGGGTTACATTAAGACAGTGTACATTAAAGCCTGCTGTACTAACCTTTTTAGCTTTTGGGTCAGGAGTCTCTCTTGGAATAGAGTCATATCCCTGGAGTAAAAAGTAGTGCAATAAGGAAAAATGCAAAAACCAACTCAAAGCATAAGAAACCAAAGAAAACTGACGAAATGTGCAGTATGAACTACCTCTGGTTTGACCTCGTTTGGGTCCTCTATATATTCTCTATCATCCCAATCTGCAGGCTATAAGCAATGGAAATCACATAAGCCATTTGAAAATGAGCAGATGAGTATCAGAAATTTTTACAGAATAAGTAAAGGAAAGGAATGCAAAGAAGAAGCTAAAATTGTCAAAATATCAATTGAAGAAATCGGGGGGAAATAGCTGATAAACAGGATTTCTGTGCCAAACTGTTGAAGGTGCCAATGTAACAATACACATGAATTGGGTTTAGGGGCATAAACAAGTCCAGCCTAAAGCACCTAACTTTTTTCTGAAATACCTTTTTTGCATTTACATCTTTAATTTTCCGAGGAGGAAGGATATCCCAGTCCGTATACATGCTTCCAGAATCCCTTTCTCGACCATCAATCCAGATGCTGTATGATGCATCAGGTCTAAGAATGAATGTGTAGAAATGGGTTAATTTGTCTGTTTCACATTGTAGATCCTTTTTGATGGGATAATTCTGGCCTTGGTAGGAAAGTATAACATGAAGTTTCTTTGTCTGTGTACCACAGATATCCGGTCCAAACATCATACTGCAGAAACAAAGACTTTTTGTAAAAAAAGGGAAAAAATACGTACCATGTAAACAAACTACTATGAAAAAATATAACCTATAGCTTATACATAAAAGGAACATCTGGTCCTTTTCGACTTGTTTTGATAAAAGAGTTCCATTCTTCACCTCTTGGTGCTTCCTTCAATTTTGATCCTTGAACCTATTTACAGTAACTACGCTCAGTTTTCAGATACCGATAATTGGAAAATTTTATTTTGTGTCTTATACAACTAGTGTATAAGATAACTTTTTTGTCTCACACTTTGTGGACCCAGATTTCTGTGGACCCAGAAGTGTAACATTGGGGTCCACAAATCTGTGAGACAAAAAGCAGCCTCATACAACTAGTGTCAGTTGTATGAGATACAAAATAAAACTTCTCCTGATAATTGAATCTTGACCAAGGTTAAATGTGTATCCAATCTCACAACCATTTTCTAATCAGGGAAATAAACAAGCTGAAATTTGACAAAGTTAAATGTGCGTCTGAACTCACAACCACTGTTACTAATTAAGGTCATCGAGAAGCGGGCTTGTTTACTTTCAGATTAAAATGGAAGGTGGGCTAAGGAGTGACATTTTACAGAATTTTGTTCAGGCAGATGATTAGTCTGTCTCTTAAAATAAACACATTTCACATCAGAAACTAAGTTTATACTGCCCAATTTTCAGAAATCAAAAGCTGGGACTGCAAGCCAAAATATCACAGAAGACAAACATATCTTATGAAATTTATGCCTATGCAACTCTAAAAATTCTTCCCCCGTATGGGATAGCTTAAAAACATTTTGAGAAACAAACCTGTAAGGGGTGTCTCCCCCGAATTTCTTCTGGTTGACATATCCAGAGAGAAGCTTTATGTAACCTCCACCACACTCAATGTCTTGCTCAAACTTTATAGAATATTGTACAACCAAAGTTCTGTTCTTGTTGCTAAATTCTGGTACCTTAGCAGAAATGGCGAAATGTTTGGCATCGCTTGATGTCTGAATACCTGCAAAATCACAACCACCCTGAAATCTGCTACTGAGCTATTTAAACAAATGTCCATGGACTTGTCAGCTTCATGTGGTCTTTAGACAAATGAATTATAACCATCCAATAATTGCAAACAATCGTGTTTTGAAAACAGTTTGTATTTGTAACAACAAACTAGTGAAATTTCTTTTCCCAAAAGATATTACAACAGAGACAGTGAGTCAAGTTCAATTTTTCTTTTTATGACAGTGGTGTCCGGGATAACTTGCACGCACCTCGACTTTTCCATCAAATACCTGCTACCTCACATCAACACAAGTACCGGGTAACTCAACTTGAGATTTCATGGTTCTCCTCCCACTTTGACCACCTGGTCACACCATTGGGTGCATGACTCGTCAAGTTTAATGACTACTAAAAAATCCTAATCTTTCTTGCTTGCCTCAAAACATGTCTTAACATAAAAACTATACAGGTCATATTAGGCAAAATAAGTGGTGAAATGTGTGATCTGACTAGTCTATGTCCGTTCATTAAGTTTCTTCCTCCCCCTCCCAACCCCCTCTCCCCCCTCGTGCTCAGGCTGGGAGGATTTAGCCAGTGGATTCTCAGTGGACCATTTTCATTTTTCTCCTTTCTTTTTTTGTGATTATTAGTGAAGAGTTTAACATATAAGAATAGCTGAAGAGTCCATCTGAAAGCTTTTTTACGCACATGAAGACTTCCAAAAAAGAGATGATAAGAGTCAAAGTACCTTTATCATCAGGATCACCAGCCCATTTTCCAGCTGTATGCTTAAATGAACCTGCTTTCCCTTCACTCCTTTTCCAGTCAGACTTCACCCATCTGCTCTTCCAATCAACTTTTTCAAAAAAAAAACAATAGGGAAAAGAAACAAGAAAACAAAAGATTAATCAGTGTATAATCACAGCAAAAAAGGATCAATAAAGAGAAGATTTAATCTTGTGACATTGTGAAACAAGAACTTATACAGAAGTAGACTGATCCAACTCTTCTGCTCATAAAGTCACTAATAACTACATCAACAATTCAAGCACGTTATACAAAAATAAGTCCACCCCAGGTATCAATATTTCATTCAAACTCACTCATTACTTCTGCAGCCCAAAAAAAAACTTTTTTTTTTCTTCAAGCAACTTCTGAATCAACTAGAAAATACAATGGAACTAGTGAAAAGACACAAAAAAGAAGTTCACCAACTGATGTCATGCTTCACTTGAATTAACCATAAGCTCATCCAATCCAAAATCTCCCAATTCTTTTAAAGAAAGAAAAAAAATTCTAAGTGGACAGTAATAAAAAAAATATAGACAATCCTTAAACATGGCCACGCTAATCTTCTCCGTAATCGTTCTAGTTTTATTCTATGTCACAAAAGGGGCAATATTTTCATTGAAAATTTATTGGGTGTAACCAGAAGTATCTAAAAATCAATTCTTTTCATACCATTTACAGAAAAAATAAAAAAGGATGGAACAACAAGCTCAAAAATGAAACTATGAAATAGCATTAAAAGAATAAAGAAAAGAAAAATAATGAGTACCATCAAACTGTTCTTCGAAAAAGATCTCAGAGAATGAAGAGGTGACAAGCGAGAAGAGTAATAAAACTAGTAGAAATGATTCAACTGAGAAGACTAATGTTAGACTTGTTCTTTGGTCATGCTTGGACAGAGCCATTTGCCCCATTGTGGAAATTTGAGGGTCGTTAGAGTAATTATAGAAAGTTCTTTTTCGTTTTAAACCTTGATTTTCATTTATTTACGGAATTACCCTATTAGTCTTTTTGTTTTTCTATTGACTTTTTTTTAAGATGTTGTCCAATCAGAATAGGCTTTGCACGTCGCTTTGTCTAACGGGTTTTGCTTCTAGTACATTCCTTTTTGTCCTCAGTCCACTTATTAGGGGGAATTGTATAAATAGCACGGGCTAGCCAGTTTTCGGATTGGTCATTCAAAAATTGTCAGTGTTTGCAAAGTCATTGAAAAATAGTCGTTATTTTGCTGCAACAGAAACCGGTCCAGCATAATATACTGGAGATCGGTGCACTTGTGTATGAACTTCCAGTATATTATGTTGGACCGGTATATTACACTAGAGCTCTAGTATATTATGCTTCCAGTATACTTATGCTGGAACTCCATTATAATATGTTGGAGTTCCAATATACTTATGTTAGAACTCCATTATAGTATGTTGGAGTATTTTTCGGATTACTTATGCTGGAACTCCAGCATAATATACTGGAGTATTTTCCGGATTTTGAACAGTATTTTCGTTCGGATTTATCTTTACATAAAAAGTGGCTAAATTTTGATTACTTTTGAAACTGTGGCTATTTTTGAATGACCGCTTGTAAATCTGGCTATTTTTGAATTTCTCCCGTGGGAATTTCAGACTTTTAAAATGGCATCCCTACTTTAAAAACAAGAATAATTAATCATACTTTTAGGGGTGGTTTGGTTGGAAAATAAGTTATTTCACGATTAATTATTTCGATAATTAGTCCGAGATTGTTATCCCACCTTCCTATTGGGGTAAAAATAACACTACAATACTGAGATGAGATTAGTTATATCGTAATTTTATCTCAATCAAACATGGGATAAACTCATTTCAAATTTAATCACGGCATTAATTATATCTTATCCCTCGTACCAAACGAGCCCGTAACGTATGGTTTAAAGTTTAAACTTTGATGGTGTTGATTTAGCAAAAAGAAATTACGGAAGCATGAAGATCGTCTGGGAATCTTAGTAGGCGTTTGGACATAAGAATTGTATAATTCGAAAAAATAGTGAAGAAGTTTTTCAAGTGAAGATGGCATTTGAATTTTAGAGTTGTGTTTGGACATAAATTTCAGTTTTGGTTGTTTTTGAAGTTTTGTGAGTGATTTGAGTGAAAATTTTGAAAAATAGTCTTTTGTAGTTTTTCAAATTTTCGAAAATTTCCAAAATGCATCTTCAAGTGAAAATTGTAAATTTTATGAACAAACGCTGGTTTCAAAAAAAGTGATTTTTTTTTTGGAAAAATCTTCCATCAAATTTTATGTCCAAACGGGCACTTAGGATTAATTATGTAAATATTTTTCCTTCATTTGAGACTATTTTGTTTACTGCATTTTTCTTCCTTTATTATACTACTTTGCACTCATATGCAAAATATATGGCTTGCTTACATCTTATTTGTAGAGACAAAAAAACATGGCGTACTCATCGAAACTAATGCGTGTAAAAATAGTTACACGATTTTATTTTTTTACTATGCTTTCAATAAATTTTTATTCCATCTTCATCGGCCGCTAGATCACACATTTGATCGTTGTGTCGGCCTCCATCTCCAATCAATGATCATCATATCTAATTTAACCGCTAGTAGTAATTATTCTTTATATTTTGCTATTTAACCAATCAGTATATCGAGTATAGGGTTAAGATAAATTACGAAGCATTTTTGAATGTGTTTGATATTCTCCACATGCATGTAGAAATTTTAAGTTAGAAAAAAAAAAGCTCACATGTAGGGCATGTGACCGTCCAAGAGAGATAAAAATTACGAAGATATATTATTTGGGTCAAATATATCTTTGCACTGTCTAAAATAGTTTAAATATATCCTCCGTTATACAACTCGTTCAATTAACTCCCTACCGTTTTACTATTGGCACTGATTTGCCCCTAATTTAGACGGATGTGGCAGCTTAGGAACAAAAAGACCCAACCCCAATTTTAAATACCCGGCTCTAATTAAAAACTCACCCATTATCTTACCTATTACCCGACCCAAGAATTTGTACCACATCACCCACTACCGCAACTCCTTTTCCTTTTTCGCCACCACAACCCTCACCCCCGCTCCTTAAATACCGTTCAAGTTATAGTCCATCTTCCTCATCTTTCAAAGTCCCTTTCCTAACTTGATAAAAAGCAAAAAAACAGGAATGAAGAATATGGCAATCGGCGGCCCGAAATCGAACGAAACCAGAACTTGACAATAATTGAAGGATAACAAATTTATGCACTTTTACCGTTGGGGATTTCACGGAACCATTCCAAAGTGAAGCAGTAAAGAACGAAAATTTATCATTTTTTACCATTCCAATGACACCTCTTGATACCAAAATTATTGGTATCGAGATGTAGAGAAAATCAGATAAGAGAGAAGAGGGGGAGGAGAATAGGAATTCGGGGGAATAGAGGGACAGAAAAAAGAGGTCGAGAGAGAAAGAGAATATATAGAGAGAAATATTCATTCATTTATCATTTTTCATATTATAAAGTGTAATACAAGGGGATATATATAGGTCTCAGTATATTGAGCTAAGTAGATATTGCTAATGCTAATCTACTATTGTTAGCTAACTAATACTCTTACTAGATATTTTGCCAGTTCATGCATCCATGTAGCTTGACTAATTCTCCATCCCTGCTTTACTAACTATTTTACTTGTATCAATACCCTCCCGTACAGATCACCCTTGTCCTCAAGGGTTAGAATATCTACCAGGATCAAAAGGGAACCAAGAATATGTAGCATTGAGTAGTACAATCCAAGGTTGCTTGAGAGAAGATTCCAACTGGTTACAAGCACGAGTCAAACCAACATCCAAAACTTGGTAACAAAAGTTGTTGATCTCAAGCATAATGCAGTGAGCCCAATTACTTAAACAACCAGGCCTTGCAGCAACATACAAACCAAAGAAACCAGTATCTATATAGTTGGTATTGAAAGCCCCCATGCCAACCTTATGTGTAAGCTCGGAACCCATGTGCTTTCTTATTTCAAACTAGTAATTTTGGTAGCACCACATAGCCTTGCTCCCTCTGTGATTGCAGAGTCAGGTATGGCCACAACCTGATTGCTATAACTGTTCATTTTCAACAAATCTCCAAGTACAAAAGCCATTATAATACTAGGTAAAAGTCCAAAACTAGCTCCTTGAAGTTTAGGAATCATATGCCATTTGTAGTAGAATGCCATTAGAGCCATATCAAACTTAAGTGCAATAATTGTTATCTTGCTTATAAGAACATGTTTGGCTCTATTTTCCCAAGAGGCAGTGAATTTAGTGACTTTTATCCCAGAAACATTATCAAATAACCTTTTTTTTTCAATCTGTAGTATACTAACTTCCACCAAATCCATAGGCAACTTGTAGCAAAGTGCCTTTAGAGCTTCTTCCCAGCAGTTAATACTTCTTAGTTCAATATCCACAACCTTGAGATGCATAAACCACTGTCATCCAGTATCTCACACTCTCCTCATGTTATCAGAAGATCTAGGCAAGCAATATCTGATAGAAAAATTGTGATGACCCAAAAGGTCATCTCTTGTTTTAGAAGTCAAATCTGTATTCTGAGGCCTTAAAAACCTCTTTTTATCTCATCTCCATTTGTGTGCGCAGTCCGGGCGCATTTCCGGAAAGCTTTTATGTTAACTTTAAGAGAAATATATAATTTAGCCTTTAAAATTTATTAAAGTTGACTTAGGTCAACATTTTTTGTAAACGGATTCGGATCCATGATTTGACGGTTACGTAGGGTCCGTAGTAAAATATGAGACTTGGGTGTATGCCCGAAATCGAATTCCGAGGTCCCTTGCCTGAGAAAAGAATTTTTAAAGAAAATTATTTGCTGGAAAATATAAAGGCTTTTGGAAATGAAATGGTGTGTGTTCTTGATGGTATCGGGCCCGTATTTTGGTTCCGGAGCCCTTACAGGTTCAACATAATATTTAAGTCGAATATGTAAAATTTGGTAAGAATCGGAGTTGATTTGATATAAATTGGACCCTTAGTTGAGAAAATAGAAATTTCAATGTTCTTAAAGAATTTCATGAATCTGAGGTTAAATTCGTAGTTGTTGATGTTATTTTGATGATTTAATCGCATAAACAAGTCCGTATGATATTTTTAGAGCGTGCATGTTTGGTTTGGAGCCTCGAGGGTTCGGGTGAGTTTTGGATAGGCCACGGAGTGAGTTTGGACTTAGAAGATTTCTGTTGCATCTGGCGTTTTTATTGCATGCTCTGATCTCGCAATTACGAGGCCAGGTATCGCAATTGCAAGCCTATCAGGCCTAGAAATTTGCGAGGACTTCATCGCAATTGCGAAGAAGTCAGGCCAGCACTTGATCGCACTTGCGATCCCCCCTTCACAATTGCGAAGTCATCAAGGAGGGCCAGTTATCGCAATTGCGACAAATTGCTCGCAATTGCGAGGGGAGCAGACAATGCAACAGGTTCGCAAATGCGAAGCCTATTTCGCATTTGTGAGCTTCGCAATTGCAAAGCTCTTGTCGCAATTGCAACATCTGCGACTTGTTAAGTGGGATTTTGACGGGATTTCAACTCATTCTTTCAATTTTTCAAACCCTAAGCTCCCATAGGCGATTTTCCAAAGAAAAGTTCTTCCCCAAATCGTAGGTAAACAACTTCTAACTCATTTCTTTCAATCTACTTTATCTTTTTACATGATTTTATCTCAAAATCTAGGGTTTTTCGTGGGAAATTGGGTGGTTTTGGGTAGAAATTAGGATTTTAAAATTTTAGGAATTTGGACCTCAATTTGAGGTCAGATTTTAAAACTAATTGCATATTTGGGTTCGTGGGTGAATGGGTAGTCGGGTTTTGGTTCGAACTTCAAGTTTTGACCAAGCGGGCCTGAGGTCGATTTTTGACTTTTTGGGAAAAACATTGGAAAATCTA